CAGGAACACATATGGTATACATATGCTACATAACAGGGCAGAAGGATGCTACTGCCCAGCACAGGCCAGAGTTTGCGCTCTACAGCGGAGGAGAGCACAACAGAGGGGATGAGCGGCATGGTGCAGCTCTGTGCCCTGAGCTCCCACGCTGGATCAGATCTCTTTGTGGGCCAGATCTAGTCTGCACACCATAGTCTGCTAACCCCTACTATATAATAATGCATCAAGGATTGGACATTCTGTCCCAGTCAGTAACAAAACAATGTTACAGAAAGAATACAATGTTGCTGGAGGCACCATTTGATAGGAGTCATGTCATCATTGCAACTGTGTCTTACGCCAGTGGCTTAGCCATATTCAAATATAATTAACATTATATTCCCCAGCAGTTTTATTTAGCAAACTAACAGTGCTGCTGGATACTACTGAACAACTATTATGTCCCATTCAAAAAGTGGCTGCACTTCAGTGGGTATATAAGCATTTTTCTTTGTAAAGCAAGTTAAGTGCTTTGGAATGTTTTATCATCATCATGGATAGTTTCTTTTCAAATAAGCAAGGTAAATAAAATAAAAAAGTGCCAGATTGAGGTTTAAAACAGTCCCCGCTAATTGCTTTACAAAAAAGGAAATTCAATAGTATAAAAACATTTTCAGTAGTAACAACAGTTCTGTGGTGAAGCTGGGAAGTCTCCTGTACTTCCAAAATTGCTCCAAAATAGCAATACCAAATATAGCTGAAGGAAAAGACATGGGGATTGTCCACAGTAAAACAAGACCTTACCCAGCCTGAAGTGCACGAACCTTGTGCAACCTTTGGGAGATTTGTGTCAGTTTCAAACAAGAGTGAGCCCAAGGAACTCACAAGTGATCCCTTCAAAATAAAATTAACATTATTTCCAATATAAGACTAATCACAGCTCATTTATAACTCTACAGAACTATAATTCATATAAACAGATTTACAATTATAATTAATAGTATAAGAACACATGAACACTTACCCTGCATTATTACTGACTGCAGTTAGTCCTTTGACTCCAGTCTTCAATAAGCCCCCAATAAGGTTCTCTGGAATACCACACAGCCCAAAACCTAGGCAAAATATAAGTAAACAAGGGACGTAACAACCATTCTGGCCCAATTAGATTCATCCTAAGAAGTGAATATGTGCAGCATATAGGCTGGAGGGGGAAAACCACAAAAAAATCATCACAGACTGACCTGAAGGGACTAAAACTGCTTCCAGGTGAATAAGCTGTTTAATTCTTAGAGAAAACATCATTCAGAACAGAAGTTAAAGGCTATTTCCAATATGGGACTTAGGCACCTCAATTCTGCATAAGCCAAACCCCATGCCCTCCAGTCGGCTGCCTAATGCAGGCTATACATATACTACAAAGGCACCCCCCTGTTTGACTTGAAATCACTGTAGCTGCTGAGAGCGCTGCTTGGGTGCATGCCCAGAACTTTCCCAGAGTGAGCAGCTCAGCACATACCCACGGATCAAGAAAGATCCAAAAACTAGGCTTTCTTCTGTCAAAGCCCCCTAAGAGTGCCAGTCTGGTAAGCAAGCTCACACCACGCTGAGCAGAGATGGGGAATTCCTTACAAAAATGCTTGCTTTGGACAAGGAGGCTGGGTTCTGGTTCTCACCTGGTATAACAGATTTGCCATACAAAGAAGTGAAAAGCCTATGAAACTCTCCAAGCCTCAGGCTTGGAGAGTTTAAACCCACATTTCCAAGCTACTTGGAGAGCATCCTAGCCACCAGGCAATGTAGGTCAAATAGAACAATTTCTACCTCTCCTGTTGAAATAGCAGCACAGAATTCAAGATTTGCTGCGAGGCAAAGGGAAAGGAGAAGGACAAAAACAGGAACCAGGCTCCAGGTCCCTCCCCTCCCAGGAAATTCTACCCATTAAGATACAGTCCAGCTCCTTCTTGCTTCCTCTTCTAGCTCCAAATCCCTTGAATTCTGCGTTGCTCAGTGGCCCAACTTCAACAAAAAGTGTGGAGTCTGGGTCTTAGGGCTCCCTGCATATGGGTGGGAGATGTTCGTTTGAAACTTCTAAAGGTGAGGAGAGAATTAAATCTTCCTAGGTGAGTGCCGTAACCACCAAGCCAATGCATAAAGCTTAGGCAGCATCCCCACCACCACTTGAAAAGAAAACAGCAAGTCCTACTCAGATAGATATATCTATAAACATCAATAATATATATCTATCTTTATCTATATTAGTTGTTATAATATATATATATTAGTTATTAGTGGCTACCTTCAAGGAAAGATCCTGAGGTCTTGACTTGGAGTGGAAGATGGTACTTGCCTGCATCTCTAAATTAGGTAGCTAAGCCATGCAGAGAGGGTAGGTTTTGGACTCACTCCTGTCTGGAGAAATTCTCTACTTGTTAGTTATAAGCAGCTTCCTGCAGTTTTGGCAGTTTTGGATCCTGATCTGAGAGTGCATCCACACCACACACTAGATCCAAAGCTAACTCCAAGTGAGGTAGCTCAGGACTAGAAGCAGCATAGCTGTGGTAGCTCCCTGTCAGCTAATTTACACAATTCACACACACAGTGTAAGGAACCCATGTACCCAACAGAGGGCTCTGGATTCCTCTGAGTGGGTCCAGAAAGTCGTATGTTGTAGTGTCTGAGTTTTTTATATTGAATCCAGTCCTAGGACTTTAACTATGCAACTCCCCTACCCATGAGAATGCCTCTTCCCTGATCTCTGCTGTGGCTTCCCTCTTCTGCAACATCACAGTCACACTTTGTGTCAGTTTCAAACAAGAGACAGCTCTTCCTCCTTCCCCTGCCCTACCCCTCTCCCTTCCTCCATAAACACACACTTCCAATCCAGTCAGGTTTCATTCCTGGAAACTCTGTGTGTGTCAAACTCTGATCTCTGTTACAAAGGTGCAAATTCTGATCCCAGTTACTTCAGATGATCTTCATCATGATTCTCATCTTGGTGCCTGCTATTTCTGTACTCTGGTCAGAATCCCTTTTACCCATGCCCCCCACCCCTCCAAAACACCTTGTGAAAAGCCTTTCCTCCCCTCCATGAAACTTTCCAGCTACAATGCCAACTACCCATCCTATCTTTACTGGAGACTGTAAACTCTGAAAGCCACTAACTACATTCTTAGGAATAATCACTGAATTATGGCATTATGCACAGTATAAATCCTTTTATAAAATGTGCATTCCCCTTTGACTTAGCTGTTATGAATTCATGGGATCTATTTTTCTGAAGTTATTACATGCACTCCTTAAAAAACAATTCTACCCAGTCTTCTATTTACAAACTTTTTCAAGATTATGTATGCATTTTTGGCCTCTAACTACATATAAATGTGTACACTTCTAATATGATACAAAGCATCACCAATCTGGTAGTAAACAGAAACTGTAGCATTAATAAAACCTAGATCAGTCTTAATAAGTAACAGTGTCCATATTGATAACAGTGTGGGGTTTCAAAGGTAAAAAGAAATAAACATTTAGACTCAAGTTTTCAAAAACATCCAAGCCCCAAAGAAAGTAAATAGAATTTAAGTTTGAAGATAAAAATCCATATCAGTTGACACCTGTACCACATTGTTCACATTAGGTAACAGGCACAGAGAGTCTTATGATCTGTTTAAGGTCATATTAAGTCAGGTACAATGCTTTAAAAAAGGTACTCTATTAGAAATTGGATCTTTTAAATTAGTCAATTAAAATACTTGAGAGTACTGACAGGATAAGTAATTTCATCCATGAAGGAATATAAAACTAATTATTTGCAATTAATACTTACCACCAACAAGTAGTGTGGCCCCATCAGGTATGTCTTTTACTGCTTCTACTGGGTCAGTATAGAACTTGGTGTTCAGCTGATTGCTGGTAGAAAAATAGCAGCTGCAGCTCTGTAAAACCAGTACAGGAAGCCAGCATGAAGCACGTGAATGTTTTGAATTGCTCCTCTTATACAGAGCATCCCATAAACTGTGTAGCAGGGAGATTATTTTCTATGCACACTGACTAAATTGTGTAACTCCAGACAGCATAGTACTAAAATAAAATACAGTTAGGTCATGTTGCATTACAGTTACTTATTTAGAACACAACGGTACTACAATGGCTGGCAGCATTATGTACAAGTCGTCACACATCTGGACTTTTTGATGAACTTATGCACAACAAAAGTCTACAGGCAACATATTTGGCTAAAATGTATATGCAATGGTAACAATAATAGCTTACCATAAGGTAAAACCTTTGTTAAGCAACCACTAAAGGATCTCTTAGAGACAGACTAATAATGATGTTCTTCTGTACAGAGTTTAGTGTATGGCATTGCTTTGACACAAATGGTGTCAGTGCAGTGGTGCCATGCTCTGAAACTAATATTTCTTCCCTCCAATAACAGATTTCAAATGCAGATCTTTTAACTTATGTGTATAATTCTTAAGTGTCCAGTAATAAAATTGTATGTTGCAGCTCCACTCATGGCTAAAATATGATTCTTGTTTCACTCAAGTAATCATCCATATCATTTTCCTTAGCTGTACATATCCTTATCTTACAGAACCATACCAAGATGAAACAAACTGAGATTCCCATTGTTAAATGCCCTTTGCTTTCACTGGAACTGCAAGCCTATCACTGATAATTTCCATTGTATCACTATGTCCTTAAATAACTGATTACAATAAGCAGCAGCTACTGGTGTCCAATACTGCCTACACTTCTGGTCAGCTGGGATCCAGAGAAAGAAATTCAAACCAGAACAGGTGCAAAGCAGGGATACTGCCACCATGTGCAGAGCAGACAGGCTATCTTTCAGAAGAGCTGAGTGTAGGTGGGGAGGGGATTTGGCTGTTCTCTCTACAGCCATTAGGGGACAACCATCAAAGGAGGGAGAAGCAGCTGGCTGGCTCAAGAACAAGCACATATAAACAGAGAATGAATGAACTGAGACTGAAAAAGAAAAATAATCAAAGATGGCTTGCTCAGAGCAGTGAGGCTGTGGGAGGAATGGGATCATGCAACCCAAGCTTGTTTTAAAATAGAGCTGGACCGAGCTTTTAAAACATGGTTGCCTGTGCGGACAAGCAGCAACACTGAACGACTGTGGGCTGTCACACAATGACAGAAAGTGAAGGCAGGAAGGGACCTCAGGAAGTCCCATCTAGTCCAACCCCATGCTCAAAGCAGGGCCAAGCCAACTACATCCTACCAATCCCAGTCTCATGCAGGAGTTCAGGTGGTGGACTGGATGGGGGGCTTTGGAGAGGGATGACCCTGCCTCAGGCCCTTCAGCCCGGCTCCTCTAGGATTTGATGCCTCGGGCTCTTCCCGTCCTTGCCTTCCTGCCCCTGCTGTGAAAGTCCCACGGCTGTGCCGACCCGAAACCTACAGCTGGGCTCTCGCAGGCGCAGGACGCGGCTGCACGGGCAGAGAAAGGCGCGCCCAGGAGGGAGGACAAGGTCAGCCCGTGCCGTGCGCCAGCCCCGGCCCCGGCCCCGGCCCCAGAGCCATGGGGTGGGCGCCAGGCTCCCCGGCCTCTGCCCTTCACGCCCGGGGATGCCCAGAGGCTGCTCCCGACGAGCGGGCGCCGCCGGGCCCGTCTC